TTAACATTAAAAATAAATGAATTTTTGATTGTTTGAGATGGCAACAACTAATTTCCTATATAAGATTAAAAGAAAAAAAGGTTTTCTAGTAAAAGTCATGTTATATTTTGCGGCTCTACACAACTTTTACGTGGTCGAACTCTGGTCAAAACGGCTCTTTGAATATGAAAGGTTGCAGACCCCTGGTCTGGTGGGTGAAAAAGTAGGGGATTTGCAATTTCCCACAATGCACCTTGAAAAGTAGTGATCATCCATGGTAACTAGACGAGCAGATATATCCTGGAATGTCGCCATAGGCTGTCGCTACCCAACAGCGCCGACAAACGACAAAGATGGCACAGGCACCGCACGGCGGAGCCGGAGTCCCCTGACCAATAGGGAGCAAAAAGTAGTGATCATCTGTCAGAACAGTCAGTTTACTAAGTTCACTATAAAGTCCACTATATAGCCCCCGCTGTATATAGTGATTGAGGGATTTAGGGGTTAGGGCAGATATTTGGATACAGCCATGGTTTTAGGACCAATAGCTACACTATTCTTGCCTTTGAGGCGGCCATATTGGATACAGAACGCCAGGAGTCCAGCCTTTCTTCCCATAATAAAGAACCAGTCTTTTTATTATTAAAAAATAGCATGCAGCATGTTTGGTTGAATACTATATAATGTGTTTGAAAGTGTTCAGCAAAAACTTGAGCGGATCTTAAAAAGGTGGCATTTAGTGATGGAAAGGTATAAAGAACAAGAAATGGATTTTGATTGTGTAAATTCCTGTTAAAACGCCAGAAATCAAAATGTTTTTCCACCAGAAATTGTATATTTTATTGTAGATAATTCAACTGAAAAGCAAGCATTCCTCATTCAAAGAAATAAACCTAACCATGTAAAGCCTGTACTTACCTGGTTGTACACATGGAAACCTTCATGGTCGCATAATTTGTTAATGCAACATTTAATTCAATTTCAGCATGCAGGTTATCTCGATTGCATGATACTGCTTTGTTAAAAGCTTAGTTTTCTTCACAGGAATTAATTATTTGTTAATTTGGATATTTGTTGTAGAATAACAGCAATACAGATTGTTGTATTTTTCCTTAGCATATACCTGAAAGAATTAGCTTTTCCTAAAGTCATGAAACTAAAAATTTGGTTCCATTTGGAGAACAGTACCCTAAGAAAATGTTACTGTCCTTAGTTGCAATTTAGTAAAATTTAGTAAAAAAAAATGTAATAAAAAAATCTAACGTCAAGGTAAATGGACTGATGTTCAATTTCGGTTTCATCAGCTTATCACATTTTCTCCTATAAGGTTTTGGAATATTCTAGCCATGTTTGAATATTTTCATTAGAAAAAATAGAGTCTTTCATCTTTTGTCCTTCTCTGTCCGTACATATGGAGAATGCAAGTGATTGTTGCATTCAGAACATGCTGTGTTCCAGTGTCTGGCCTCTTGGCAGCCTCCCTCCAGTTTCAGTCTTGCCTTTCATCCATATGGGAAAAATGTCCACCTTGTGTAATACCCCATTGTCCCATATTTTCTCTAACTATCGGTGACTGTATGTTTATTGTACCATGATGTATACATATAGAATGCTTTGGAAGAGAATGTACTTTCCTCCTGACTGATAAATCGGCACAATGAGATTGTGTTGTTACCTAAATTACAGAAAGACCATAAAATGATCTCAGGACAATAAATTAGTGTTATAAATAAATATATGTGTGAACTTATGTTGATTCCATATTGAAAATGAAGGAAAAGCAAAGTTTTTGATTGCTTAATGCAGCTACATAGATAGCATGACGATTTAAGAGGTAAACAGACCTATTTCAAATAACATCCACTGCAGGTTGATGCTGAGAGAGACGTTTAGATTTACGTACAATTTGCAACAATTCATCTATTTTTTTAAGGATGTTTAACAATTAAGTGTAAAAATTTCAGAGGTATATAAATGAGTCTCTTGATCAGAGCAACAAATTGGTAGTTCCAACACTGCAGCAGTCTACTCCATAGAAAGCTCTGTATCTGCAGCTGCAGCCCTGGCTATGTTCATGACTTGGATGCTGACTGTGCTTTCAATGACTGTGACATAGGGCCTTCTCCCATCTGAGATGGTCCGTTATGTCAGCAGCGACCCAATAATAGCTGCAGTGTACCATGCTGAGCACTGAGGCAAGTGTGACGTCCAGAGCTTAAGCGTTGTTGGGCCAAACCCAGAAGAAACAGGGGCCCTACTGTTTCCCCCAAACCAGACACACCCCAGCCACACAGTTAAGACGCATACACACATGGAACCCATTTAGGTTTTCCTCTGCCACTGTTCAAATGCCCCCAGGATAAACACTTGACTGAGCCAATAAGTCCAAGCAATCACCTTTACAGATGAGTTGTGACGCAATGTTCTGATTACAAGAGGAAGTGGGGTTCAGATGTTCCCTCGGGATGGAGTTCTGCAGATGTTGACATAAAGACATGTGAAATAAAATAAATCACCAACTGAATATCAGATCACAAACAGGACCGTTTATTTTTGGACTATTATTTATGAACGGAACAAACAAGAAGAATGATGAACCAAGAAAACCTGGTTAAAAATATGGATTTGACTGATCAAACAGTTGATCTACACCATATTGAAAGCAATAACAAAATGTGGTTCGTATTTTGTAAAAACCTTTTCATTACAGTAGACGACATTCCTCACTGTCCACTTCGTTCAAGGAATGACAACAATGGGACAGCCGTTAAATGAATCCAGAAAAACCTGCTATTGTTTTTTTTTTCTTTCCGTGAACTTAAACAGTATTTGCCATTTTTGAGAGTGGACTTGTTGCCTCAGGCTAGTATTCAGCTTTAGCATCCATCCACAGTTAATCTAGATTTATTCAAGAGTTATCATTGAGGGTAAGATTTTACCTCCTTAAATGCATTAAACAGCATTCACTTAAAAAAAAACCCACAATAGTTTTGTGCTGATAACTCACTCCAGAGCTGCTAAGATCAGAGCACCAAGATGAAATATTTTCTGCTTAGTTTGTCCAGGTTAAAAAAGTTCACCTGCATTCTACTGTATGTGTCCCACCGTAAAGATAAATAAGGCAAGGTCTAAATATAGGCACGCATGTCTGGGAGCTGATGCTTACAAAGACATATGAAAATGATTAGAAGAAGAAATATGCTATTGAAAACGGATAAAAAAAAAAGGAGATAAAACAAGAAAAGTATGGGGCCTACGGCGGAGCCTTGAGGCACCTCTCATTGAACTATCTTGGGTTCTCCATTAAAACCTATTTTAAACTGCATTGGCATTATTTTCAATTTTTTTAGAGAAATATTGTAGTGATTTTAGATTGCGTAGGCGTATTTGGATTAAAAAAGAGGGAATTAAAGCCCGCTTTCAGGTAAATGATTACGATTTTCAATTCGCAATGCTGTTACATTTCATTTGGAAAACTAGTTATTTCTTCTGTGTCCTCCTTACATCATCACTTCAGTGTTTGCGAATTCTGAAGTATCCAAAAAATCCATCTTGAATGTAACGTTTCGACTGTTTGCTAGGTTGGACCCATTTAAAATGGACACACTTGACATCAAATCGGACTAACAGCGAGGGAAAGTCTGACCCGAAGTAAATCAAGGGAAATAGGCTACAGGCTAATAGAGGCATCAGCGCTGAACTACTGAGGCGTCGGTCTGCTCCTTAAACAACACTTTATTCATTAAGGGTCAAATAAAAAGGCTAGTTTAAAGATATTTTTCAGTAAAAACGTACATAACGTGTCTTTAAATTTCCGTTTTTGATAATAGTACAGGGGCCATAACAGGGGCTAGGACCAGTCGTACAGGGGCACTGGCCCCTAATGGCCCCCTGTCTACTGTAGATCCAGTCTTCAGTGAAATCATAGATAAATAACTATTTTAATAAAAACGTATTACATAATAAATTTATGTAGATATTAGTACTTGCAGAATGATTACTGATAAAAGTAAGTAAGTAATGACAATGGAGAAGATGCTCGCCCAAAACTCAAACCTATATATGTTTACTTGTTAGCAAAGGCTGTGGGAAAGTATAGTTTGTCTTTATTTAGAAAATATGGATGTTTTGCTAATTCATTTTCCTGTAGGAACAGTGTAGACTATCTACTTTCGGCCTCCCCTTAATGTACATTGGTTATTGCCTGGCCACCCTTATAAAAATTTTCTACGCCTCTGGTCTTATGTAATATTCTACTATTCTCAGTACATGCATTCTGATTGCAGTGGATCTATAGAGGAGCTGAACTGTGGTATGAAATGATTCTTTTGATGATGATCCCATTAATTAAAATGAAAATGCTTTTGGACTGTCCGTAAAACTAACTCAGCTCAATGATTTCCCGCAGTGTAACATCACTCCCATCTTGTAAATCATCACCTCTCTGTCCCTGCTGACCTCCTCCTCCTCCATAGTCCAGGCTGGTAGCCTCCTTCTCGGATGCTCGTTCGCGTGTGCCGAGCGCGCGCCTGCATCTTTTAAAACGGTTCCTCCCGCGAGGCTCCGCTGTTCAGTCTGCATTCAGCAGCGCGAAGAGACACAGCGTTTTGACACAGTTAACCCCCTCTCTGTGCTGGTCTTTGCGTCCGAGGCGATTCACGCACATATATGGAAGAGACTCGGAGCGGTTTTATTCATTTATTCAACACGCAGGGAAGAACAGGACCGTTTCCTGATAGTTTGCAGCCTTCATAAGGTGTTTGGAAAAACTACCTGAAGCTTTACGGGACATCGTTTGCATGAAACTTTACCCAGGTATGATTTGATTGAACAACGTGACAATTTAAATGTTCTTTCAGTGATAATGTTCATTTTTTTTGTTTAGTTATTTGGAGTATTATAAATCTTAGTTTTAGAAAATGTAATGCGGCTCCCTATGCGCGTTTGGAACGCAGCTCTTTTAACCCGCGCCAAACCTAATTAGAAATTTGTCATTTTTATCTATTTTTGTGCAATTTAAGTGATTTACTTTAATATACTGAGTCTTTTTTTGTATTTTTCAATATCCATAGACCAAAGCAATTATTTCGGCTTCTAAAAAGAAAGGGTTACTCTTATAAAAATCGAATTCAAATGTTTTTTTTGTGTGTTTTTTTTTAATATAATTTCCCAATTAATGAACAAAAGCAATTAAATACGTGTTTAAAAAACAAACAAACAAACAAACAAAAACCCTGGCAGAGCTGCCATATCGAGGTTCAAATGCCATTTTTGTCTCCCACTAAATGTCTAAAGTTTCTGCCAAATGCAATAAAATGCAGACAGGGGCCCTTAGACATGATCTCATCCCTGTCAATTTAAAATTCTGCTTAGCTTCTGCAAACCACTGGAAAAACTGCATGTCTTCTACCCAACAGAGTACAAAAGGATATAATATATGAGCTGTATTCAATCATGTTTCCAGAAGTGATGCAGCCAAGATGTCAAAAACATGCAAGAATTTTTTATTTTTTTTACTTTTATGACACATTGGGGATCTGATTCTGTCTAAATCTTAAATGTTTTGCAAGAAAAAACAATTTTTCTTAAATGCATCAAGTCTAACAATGGATTTAGGATGAGGATTTTCTTTAGTGCACATGTGAGTTCATAATTTGCTCCTTTGTGGGGCTGCATGCCTGTGCACAGTGATAACCATCCCATGGTGGCTTTGTTTTGATGCTAAACTATCATGCAGGTACTTTTCCATGTTTGCGCTCCGTCTGTGTAACACTATAGCAGCACGTTTGGGGTCAGCATACAGAGCTGTGGGTCAAGCTTGAATCCCCTTCTGTGACTTGACGCAGTTTGAAAAGTATTTCTATTGTTTGTTTGGAGAAATATTTTTCAGGGGGGCTGGGTTGCAGAGCTGTTTCCTGTAGAGGGGGTTTCACTAACAATGGTCGCCTCGTCTGAATCCGTTGGTGTTTCTCTCTGAGGTTCTAAGGACTGAGCTCGGATGTTAAAAGAATGGCCCAAATGAGAGGTGGTGGAGGTGGGGGGGTAGAAGACAAAGGCAGGTGGATGTGGTTGTATAACGCTGCAGTTTAAAGGGTCTCGCAACAAAAGGTTTCATTTGAACTTGTACTTTTAGTTGTTCTGATGTAACCCAGCGTTTTTTGGCCCGTTTCCAGTCCCATCAAGGATTTTCAAGTCTCTGTAGGACCTAAACCAACCAGTCTGTAAATATTTAAAGATTCCCGTTTGTTGGAGATGAATGTTTCACTCTTAGCACATCACATCGTCACATTTGTAACCATTCCTGTTTGGCAGCCTTGAGCTGCCAGCTGTACTGACTTGCTAGTTTTTTCCATGAGTGTGACATTGCAGAACTGTAACCTTTATTTTCAAGGGTCTGGTTCTCATAATGGAACAGTTTTTAATCCTGTTCGTTGTTGATATCAAATCCAATAACTCCATTTTTTTTCCTACCTAATTGCAGATAAAGACGCCGGATCCGCCGCTTCGTTTAGCAAAGACAGGTGGATGATTGGAAAACGCGTCGAGGACGACCAGCTCAAGTCGAGCAGTGACACCTCCCCTAAAGCTTCCTCTAAACCCAACCTGAAGGGAGCCATGGCCCTCGGCAGTTTGAACCTAATGCAGACCCTCAAGAACTCCCCGGCAGCCTTCCGGCGCCGCTTCCGCCGGGACCGAACAGAGTCCCTGTCCCACGGTGACCCTCTGTTCAAAGTCCACTACCTCGGCACGGTGAAGATCTTCTCTCTGGACCGAGAGCAGGCCCAGGAGGCCATCTCTCACCTGACGGAGGGCGTCGCCAACGGGAAGAAGCTGAGCAAAGATCACGCTCTGGTCGTGAGGCCGAGATACGTAGAGGTCAAAGAGCTGAGCACGGGGCGGCAGCTCACCAAGACGTACCTGCAGGACATCGCGTACTGCGCCGCCGACGTCGGCCGACCCAACGTCTTCCTGTACATCTGCAAGCACCAGGGGCAGCAGCTGCAGTGTCGGGTGTTCTGGTGCAGCCGGGCGGAGCGGGCGCGAGACATGACCGCCTGCCTGGCACGCTCCTTTCAGCGAGCGCTCAGCGACTGGCAGGATGGCTCAGCCTCTCTGCCGCCAGGAGAGGCCAGAGGCAAACGTCTAGAGGAGTCTTCCAACACGAAGAGCTCTACGCTGCCCGCTGGTCTGGGGAAAGGTGAGGAGAGAGAAAACTAAAAAATGATAGCTTCACTTTATAAATAAGCTCAGAAGAAAAGTGTTAATTTCAGTCATTATTCTTCCATCCAACAAATATCCAAATATTTGGTTTAACTCGTAAAATTTATGCTCAAATCAATAACGACATTTTTATTTTTCCTCCTCAGTTCGCTGGAAGAGAAGAGGCTCAGCATCCAGAAGCCCCATGAAGGGAATCACCAGAAGAGGATCAGCCTCCGACAGTTGGAGCTGAAACAAGAGGCTTCTACGCTAACCTGGTTCTGACTTTTAAAGGTGGAAAAACTGCATGAAGGAAGGAAGTTTGGGAGGAACAGAGTTGGACTGCTCCAGGAAAGGAGAAGGGGGGGAATTTAGCTGCCATCTTGATCCATATTTGGTCAAATAACGGCAGCTTGTTAGGATGTAATCAGAACTGACGAGTGTTTGGTGTTATGGACATGATGGGCTGCATAAGGCATCTGACTTCAGAGAACCCTGGTTGGGTGATGTTTTAAGTGACCTTAAGAAACAGTAAATCCATGGTGGTATGAACCTGTTTCCTTCTCTTTCAAAGAGATGTTTGATGCAGATCCAGTGTGGTTCCCTTCCTCCTGTCAGCCAAAGTTCTCAAGCGATCCCAAAGTGATCTGCTCGTTATGAAAAGGTTAATGTTTGTCTGAATTGAATGGCAGGTCTGGTAACTGTGCCATCATTTGTAAATCATAAATCATCCGCTACGCACTGCAGATAAAAACATGGCGGTAGCTCTGGGAGGAGGAGGACGACGCTGTGTTCCTGTTTGGAGCCTCGGTGAGGAATGTACAGCCGTGCACCTGCATTCCAAGCTGAGGGGGGAAATCTGAATTGGGAATCGTCTATTCACGTCCGCCCCCTGATTGTCTGTCCAAGAGCTGCACGCTTTTTAAAACCTGATGATTATTTAGGTTTACAAATACGACTTGAGGGCAAACGGTACATCTCTAGCCTACCGTTATCTTCCAACTTTATGATTTCTCAGCTAAGCTAGAAACGACGACTTTTAAGGAATTTTATATATATATATATTTTTTTTCTTTTTACAATGTGCCACTTTTGTAAGTGGATTTTAGTATTTTATATTTGAAAGCCTTACCAAAAGCGCTGCTGATATCTGGAAAAAGTTATCCCTGCCTGCTCTAAGCTGTATTTTTATTTGTACCGTTGTTGTTGCTGTACATATTTATCTAAATATGTATTTTATGGAATATTAAAGTTTTTATACAGTCTTTGAATGCCTACGTCTTGTTTCAGTAAAAACGAATGTTACACTACATCAGGGATGTTTTGTTACCAAACATGTTTTTCTTTTTTTTTCTTAAGAGATATATTTAGCTTAAAGCAAACAAACCTTTTCCTCAGCCATGTGTTTACGAGGGAGGGAGGAGATTGAGGAGTTTTTATTTTAGGGGGGTCCGGGGCAGGTCTATTAGAAAGGTCCTGGGATTTGTAGCCAGTCATGGGAGTCATTTTCCACTATGGCTTCTTAATATTTCACCAGGTTTCTTTCATGTGAGCTACTGCAAATGCTCCAGTTGTAGAAGGAAATAAGATCTCCATGGTTTAACCTAGAATAATGACTTCAAACTGAACGTGTATGGATTTTATTTTAGATCGTTTATTTAAACAAATGTCAGTACAAACGTAGAATAAGTTCACTGAATTCAGCTGTAGGTTTGGATGCTTACTGAGCAAAAAGTAAAAAGATCTAAAATAATATGGAGAGTCAGCGGGCTGCTTGGAGCTAGCTAATGAAGAGTGATACACTATATTTTATTATTTTCTTAATGTCTTGTGAGAAAGTAGTCTCCTTTCAGCCAGCTTAAAGGCAGTGTGCAGCAGCATGCTTGGCTGTGGTACCCTATGGATGATGAACGTTCCTTCTAAACGTGTCTGATTGGCAGTTCTGAAATGTTTTAAAACCTCAATAGAACTTTAACTCCAGTAAAACCAAATAAAAAATGAATCTAATAAAGCATCCTGAATTACAAAAAAAAAAACAAAACAACCCAGACATATTGCACAATTAAACCCATTTGGTTCTTCGACAGGACTTCATCTTGAAGAGTGCTGCTCTGTGGAGCTACTGGCCTTTCCAGAGCTTTCTCTGAGGCGCTGCTGCTCCAGCAGGGACTGGAAATGTAGACGCCTCAGAGGTTTCACTTCCTCTACCACTGGAAATGGAAGGAAAAAGGAAAACAATATTCAGTATCTGTCATATCAGAGTTTACAACTGTTCAAAGTGGAGCAATTTAAAAAAAGGCTGCTTTTTAGACACGTTAAAATCTCGTTGAGTCACACCCTATGGATAATGGAGGGGTTGTAAAAGCACCGTTTGGAAAACAAACACCAAACATAAACATTCTTATCTATTAGAAACACTTTTTGCACAGAGGTTAAAAAAAAAAAGCTAGTAAACTTGAATTTAGGGAAAGAAACCTGAGGCAATTGCACAGGTCCCATGTGATGCTGAAGCTATGATAGTTAGCTCCAACCTGGAGTCAACAGATGTGACTGCAGCCGTTGGTTAGAAGCATCATGTTGTCAGGTTATTCTATCTGTAGTAACCTTTAACTCTGTCTGAGCCAAATAAATATGACATTAATAATGTATTTTAACATCTGTTCCTGGGGTGGAGCTCAAACATTTAGCATTAACTTGATGAACTTTTATAAATAAAGATGTTGATGTAATAAAACAAACAAAAACAGTAAATCTAAGGTAACAGGGACTCATAAAAAGATAAATTAATCATTAATTAATCCAAAAATGACAAAACGATACATATGAAAATAAATCCTGTGCATCCAATCATGTTGAAGACAAATTTTAGAACCGCACGCCTCATTAAAAAAACGGCAGAAATGTAGAAAATATACAAATAAACATAATACAAGCAAAAAAAAATTATTTTTTTATGACCAAACATATTTATTCATTCTTTAATCAAGTTATTTAAACATTCATATTTGTATTTATTTATTTATATGTGTTTTTATTTATTTTCATATTTATTTTTGTATTTTTTTTGTTCCTCTTAAGATTAAAGTTGGCTGCCTAAAATAAGAATCTAACTTCCATAATAAGCTTTGTTTTGTTAAAAAACTAATAAGCTGACATGCATCAAAACCCTGATGAGTAAAATATTGACTAAATAGGGGAAAATACTGACATTAGAGCAATCGCTTCATACAAAGCACTTTTTTGGCTCTTATTTTTAATCCTTTTTCTTTTTTATGTACATAGAAATGAATAAAAGTATCATAGCCTAAACATAAATGAAAATGATAAATATATACCCATAAATGGTCTAAAAAAAAACTGAGCAGCCTTGTAAGGTTAATTAACAGCGCCACCTACAGTCTCTAATTTGAATGTTTTATTGTAAAAATGAAACACCTTTGTCATAGTGCATCTCATCCCGATTCCCATAAACCAGATACATCTCCAGGAAGCTGAGCAGAGCTCCTGTGACCAGGAAGCGGTCCTGCAGGGGAAGGCTTTTGATGTAGCGCATGTCCAGGGCGAAGGGGTTGGAGGGAGAGGGAACAGTGCACAGACACACCAGCTCACTCACGATATCCCACACACGAATACCTATGAAGAGAAATTTGAAATGTGTTTGTTTTTATAAAGATTGTGCAGCTTAATTAATCTAGTGGTGGAAAACTGGGTAATTATTCTCAAAGCTGCAGGTCAAACAGTAACCTCCAGCAGGTGGGATTCCACTCTGTTTCCACACCTTGCGTCTGCCAGTCTGTGATGGACTTCAGCTTCATGGGCGTGTCCTTAACCATCGAATCCATCCCGCCGATGTTGACCAGCCTCTCGTGATTGGAGCGTATCCAAGCGTATGGGCGACCATACTTGACGTAACCGGCCAGTAGAAACAGAGTGCAGTTCACCTCCTGTTGAAGGGAAAAAAAAAAACACATGACTGAGTTCAAGGGTTAAAGTCAGAGGGGAAACAGAGCGAAACGTGTTAAAGTGTTTCTAAAACTGGTGCTTTACTGGTACTGCTATTTCTCCTTCGCTGGGAGACGCTGGGAGAAGATGCTCCTCACTGCTGAGCTCCTTGTGACTTGAAAAAAAAAACAAACAAGAAACTATTTAATCCATTTAGCATTCCATCTGACATTTATAAACTCAAACAGGAAAAGCAGCAGTCTTCTGAAACTAAACACCTACATGTTACTGTAAGCAGACACACACAAAGTCACATCAGTCACCTGTCTGTCTGCGTCACAGTCTTGGAATCAGGGCTGATGGTCTGGAAAGCCAGCGGGCCTTGAGGCTCCCCGGGAAGGGGCGAGCTGCTCCTGCTGTCCAGACTGGGAGAGCTGCTGCTGGGAGACGGATCACTGCTGCTGGAGGACAATGTGGACGCCCTGGAGACCAAAAAGCCTGGAGAGCGCCAGCCCTGCCAAGTTTGAATAAAAACAATATTAGTACACATGAATTTTTCTCACATTGCTCTGCTTTAGAACCACAAACTAAAACACATTTTATTGGGATTCTTTGGGATAGAGCAACGCAATGTGTGGATAAAATAAAAAAATGTATGCAGATAAGCATCGACTGTCAGGTTGGAAGAAGTTTTTTAACATAACCTTTGAGCTGGACTCATATTTTTGTATGCTGTAAGTAACTGTAACAGAAATAAAGGCTTAAAAACATCAGATTGTGTAATCAATCAACATTATTGGTTTACCTTTGTGGGGGCTGGAGCCCCACAGTGGTATCCTTTTTATTTCTTTCTTTCAATATTTAATTTTGCAATTTAGATTATCTTGCACCGCTGTTATGGTGAGCGCACATACACACCAGAACATTAATTGTCAGCCATCTTGTTTTCCCCTTGTTTTTGGTTTGGCAAAACCACTATACACTACCGTTCAAAAGTTTGGGGTCACATTGAAATGTCCTTATTTTTGAAGGAAAAGCACTGTACTTTTCAATGACGATAACTTTAAACTAGTCTTAACTTTAAAGAAATACACTCTATACATTGCTAATGTGGTAAATGACTATTCCAGCTGCAAATGTCTTGTTTTTGGTGCAATATCTACATAGGTGTATAGAGGCCCATTCCCAGCAACTATCACTCCAGTGTTTTATTGGTACAATGTGTTTGCTCATTGGCTCAGAAGGCTAATTGATGATTAGAAAACCCTTGTGCAATCATGTTCACACGTCTGAAAACAGTTTAGCTTGTTACAGAAGCTACAAAACTGACCTTCCTTTGAGCAGATTGAGTTTCTGGAGCATCACATTTGTGGGGTCAATTAAACGCTCAAAATGGACAGAAAAAGAGAACTTTCATCTGAAACTCGACAGTCTATTCTTGTTTTTAGAAACGAAGGCTATTCCATGTGAGAAATTGCTAAGAAATTGAAGATTTCCTACAACGGTGTGTCCTACTCCCTTCAATGGACAGCACAAACAGGCTCTAACCAGAGTAGAAAAAGAAGTGGGAGGCCGCGTTGCACAACTGAGCAAGAAGATAAGTACATTAGAGTCTCTAGTTTGAGAAACAGACGCCTCACAGGTCCCCAACTGGCATCTTCATTAAATAGTACACGCAGTAGCCTGCAAATGATCTTATTTACCTGCTCTAATTAAGGGTAAATACACTTAATTTAAGAAATTTTGACTTATTTCTAGAATGTTTTTACTGTATTAACTCATAAAATCGCAATAAATAGTTTTTTTTTTAAATAATATTGGTTAAAAATAACTGAAATTAATTGCTTGGCATCAAAATTACAGATGAGAAAAAGATCAGCACTGCGTTCAACTAAAAACAAGCAGCTCTTCCATTAATGTGAAAGTCTGCACACAGTCTCAGATGAGGTGAAACTAACCAGATCCTCATTGACGACAGTCAACAGCAGCTCCTCCTTTCCTCTCAGCCAAGGCTGGAAGTATTTAAAACCCTGCAGAATAAACAACATGCAACGTGTGTTTGCAGAACCGTCAGCTGTTCCACATCTAAAAAAACAAACAAAACGGTTCTGATCCAACCTGCAACGTTCCCAGTAAAGCCAAGTCGCTCAAAAAGTGCTGCAGCTTCCTCTTCTGCTCCTTCTCTTTTTTCTATTCACAGATTAGCATTAAAAGATGCACAAAACAACAGCAATTAAACCACAACTTTCTCTTTGCTTTGAACATACTCTGAAAACAACAATGCAACTGCTTTTGGCATTTACTTAACATATTTAGTTAGTTAGTTCAACAAAATTGTTTAATTTCCTACCCTGCCAACATGAAACAATTGTGTTAAACTAACATATGATGAAGTGAATGCCAAAAATGGTTACATTATATCTTTCAGTGCTTCATCCACTTTCATTCCGTAAAGATAAACTAATGTATATAAACAATATGTTTATCCAAAAAGGCATTTCTACAAATTCATTTTTAATAAACAAAAACCTTTCTTTTCCAGTTTAAAAAAACAAATAGTCTATTAAGACTATTAAAGGCCCCTCTAATGTAAAAGCTATTAAAACTCTTCATTTATGTGCTCTCTAGAATGTCTTTCTGTCATTTACATTTCTAAAATCCTGTATTTGAATACATGTAGTCCTTTGGTAGTTCTAATTTATCTTTTTTTTTAGTCTATCACTTTTTACTGCCTTATTTGCCATTATGAATAAAAAAAAAATAATTTAATTAATTAATAAGCCCATCTGAGGTAGGTAACCAATAAGACTACTTCCTGTCTTGTAACCTAGCAACGCCTAATAACATCATCTGGGGCCTTCTTTCACATTGAAAACATTTTTTTTATCATTTATTTACAAAAATGCACCAAATATGGAAATATCCGAAAAAGCATTGTGACGCGAAAAACATGACGTCACATCATACAACAACCAGCGGCTGAATAACTGCTGTACTTACACTGGCATTGCTCATCTTCTGCTAAATCACAGGAAACAGTCCTCTTCTAGCAACGCGCTGCTTGTCAGCTTTTAAAACATGTTTCCTACTCTTTAAATATAGCCTGTGTAATTAGCTAGCCCTGAAAATAAAGCCTTTATTGTGCAGCTCTGCCTGGGTGTTGTCAGTTCAGTTCATAGGATGCAGCAGCAGTGGGAGGCTGAGGGTGTACTGCCCCCTAGTGGCTCCGCTTCAAACTGCACCAACATTAAGAACCAGCTCCCTCTGCTGACATTAAATTGTTTAATACGGAAGAGGAGTGGGGCCACTGAAGAAAAAAAAAAGAAAAAGAAAAAAGCGTTAACTGGTTTTTAAATATAATTTCAGTTTGATATGGGAAAAAAGTCAGAACTCTGACTTTAATCTCAGAAAAAGTCAGAATTTTGACTTTAATCTCAGAAAAAAGTCAGAAATCTGACTTTAATCTCAGAAAAAAGTCAAAATTCTGAC